TATCAAGTAAATCCTCTCTTGATGGAAATATAAAATTCAAGCTATTTTTTCTAGAATAAAATTGGCATAAATTTACTGAAAATAGAATGAATGATATCATTTATATCAAGCAAAAGATAAAAAAAAAAATTATATTGTTTATATAAATGATAGAATATCTTTATTTTATGAAATTATCTTTTGCTCTAAAAAAAAAAGTTGAAAAGAGAATAATTGAGTAAATTATGGTGAATTTTTTGAATTTTTTTAATAATTTTAACGATAAGTTAACAGATATCTATTTTTTGAACAAGTTGTCAAGGGGCGGGCTTCCATTGGGGAGGGGAATGCACCTCAAGTTGGCAGGTTACTAGTTGACCCAAAGGGTCAGGTGCAGTAAACAGATATCTATTAAAGGTGCTAATAAAAGCTGATTGAATGATTACAGTATGAATGATTAATTTTTCAGAAGATATAAATTTTAGAGGAAACGGAAATTCAGGCCTTCTTGGCAAAAAAATACCAGGACAACCTTAATAAATGATGTTGTTTTGATAAAAAAGCCAAACAATACCTTCGCTCTTCCCCTCCTCTCAAAGTTCCTTCGTGCTAAATGCCATTCTCATCTTCTCAAACCTACTAAAAATTCTCATTCAATCAAACACTCTAATTGGGTTGCCTACAAAGGGGAGTGGCTTCTGCTAAAACCCCATCCTTTCTTCCTCGTCACTTTTCTCTTTTATGTATTTGTGATCAACTTCTTTTGGGAGGAGTAGGCGTAATGATGAAGAGTATAAAATCTCGTTAATCCAATATTTATAGTGAGGATAACACTCTCATTGATTTTAACAATTTCTAAGCACCATCCCCAATTTCTCTTCTCCTAGTAAACACGTTTTCTAACAATGGCGAGCACAAGAGGGACGGCAAGGGGTGTAACACAAGGGATCGAGGGTGGCTACAGACAGTGGCAAGGACACAGGAATAGGACGGTAGGCTATGGTTCGCAGTTTTCCGGTTGGACGACGACGTTCTTCTTTTACAATTTTCCGGAGGAGTTGGAGGCAAAATTCCTATGGAACAGCTTTCGGATGTATGGCAAGGCTGTAGATGTGTATATCCCGAGCAAAAGAGATAAGCGAGGGAAGAGGTTTGGGTTTGTGCGGATGGCAGGGGTAAAAAATGAGATTCAAATGGAGAGGCAGCTAAACACGATGTGGATTGGCTCGTATAAAATGAAAGTGAAGATTGCAGATGACAAGGGAAAAAAACCAGCAGTGTACAGGAAGTTACAAGGAGCAGTAAAGGACAATGGATCAACAAGCAAAATGAATAAGTTAGTCCAACCAGGGAAATCATATGCCCAAGCAGTGAAGGGCAAGGGAAAGAGGGATGAGAAGGCACAAATACAACCTCAGGACAAGGATGAAGAAGAATCTGCGGATAAGGACGAGGTTAATAAAAGGGTAGTTGAGAATATGGTAGTGGAACATTCTCCCACGGGTGAAGAGTTACACTGGCTAGAGGGTGGCATGGTGGCAGTGGTGAGATCGCTGGGTTTGATATCAGAGATTCAGGAACGTATTGACGGAGACGGAGGCTCAATATCGTTAACACCAATAGGGGGAAGGCGGGTGTTATTATCTGAAAGAGTAGTAGGGTATTTATCTGAATATATGAAGATAAATGAAGAGTTGTTCGATCTGTGGTTTGAATCCATAAACCCATGGGAGACGGCACCGGAGGAGTCGAGTCGTATGGTTTGGCTGCGTATATCGGGAGTGCCTCTAAAGGCATGGAGTGAGAGGTGTTTTTAGAGTATAGGAGAGACAATCGGAGAAGTTCAAATGATCCATGAGGACACAAAGAATAAATCAATCCTATGGGATGGAAGAGTATTGGTCTTATGCACAGAGTCTAGGAGAATTGCAAAAAGAATTAACTTGAAGGTAGGAGAACAGCTGTATGAAATAGAGATTGCAGAGGAGGAGTGGCGATCGGATCCGGATTGGTGGCTGACGGAGAATGATCGGAATAATGACCAGAAATCGGGGTCCAATGACTTCTCGGATGTGTGGAGTCAGAATGAAGACTAGGAAATGGGTGTGGACGTCATTCGTGACGGCGATGATGTGAGTTCTGATTCAGTGCATTTAATGAAAGATTTGGATTTAAATTCAAATTTGAAGATGGCAACGGGAAAGGAAAGCTGGGAAAAAAATGAAACAGAGAGGGAGATTGTAGGGGACGAAAGAGATGGGCCGGCTAAGGGATGTGGGCTCCAAAGGGTGAGGTCTGTTGGGCCAGAAAAGTGGAGTGGGCCGGATAAAAGCAACAATTATGGACGGACAAAAGAAATAAGTTTAGAAGGACCAAATTTAATCACCCAAATCCTGAAAGCAACATCAGTAACGCAGAAACCAGAAAACAGAGCACCAACGAACAAAAAGCAGCGCCTTCTCCAAGAGTGTTACCCAGGAAGCATGGAGGAGATCTGGGCGAAAGAGACTCCGCTGGTGACATCCAGATCAAGACAGCGACAGTCACGAAGGGTGGATGACCGAAGAGCAAAGGAAGACAAGGTATGCATAGAGGGTAGTTTGTCTATTTCGGATGGGGATATTGTAAATAGAAATAGGGTGATCCAAAGGGAGTTGAATCTGCATGAGGTACGCCGGATGATGAGGGTGGGAAAGAGATTGGGGATCCAATTTGAAGATAATGATGAGGAATTAATATCTAGGTTGATAGAGGCAGAGGATCGAGAAAGGGCAAAGAGGAGAGACGGGTTGGGGGTATAGGTCTGGGCGAGAGATTTGAAGTCGTGTGTCCATCTTTGATTAAATGAAGATTATTTCCTTTAATGTGAGGGGATTGGGTGGGATAGTGAAGAGGAAGGAAGTGGGAAAGCTGATTAGAGAGGAAAGGCCGGACTTTCTATTATTGCAGGAAACGAAGTTAGAGAGGATAGATATGGGTATTTGCAAACTTTTATGGAACTCTGACGAGTTCGAATGGGTTGCGAAGGCCTCGTCTGGAGCATCAGGGGGACTGCTATGTTTATGGGACAGAAGGAATTTTGTTAAGAGCGAAGAGTTTACAGGGGATGGGTATGTGGGAATATCAGGGGAATGGGGAGTAAATAAACAACAGTGCAGCCTAATAAACGTGTATGGCCCCAATGATAGATAGAAGAGGGTTAAGTTGTGGGAGGAGCTGAGGAAGAGGGTGATTGACAAGGAAGGGTGGTGGTTGATCGTAGGGGATTTTAATGTTGTCAGAGGGCCTGAGGAGAGGCGAGGGAAATCAGGGGTGAGTGCAGATATGTGGGATTTTGAGGAGTTCATTGTAACAATAGGCCTGGTGGATGTTAAATTGACAAATAGACGATTTACATGGTATAAACCAGATGGAACAGCAAGAAGCAGACTAGACAGATTCTTGTTGAGTACTGAGATGTATAATAGGGGAGGAGAATGGATACAGCAGGGGCTGCCAAGAAACATTGAGGATCATTGTGCAACGGTGTTGAAATCCAAATCAACAGATTGGGGACCAAGGCCTTTTAGAGTCTTAGATGCATGGCAACAACATCCAGGATTCAAGAAGGTTGTAGAAGATAAGTGGAGAGAGATGGCAGTGGAGGGGTTTGCAGGGTACAAATGCAAACAAAAGTTAAAACTGTTGAAAGAGTTCTTAAAAGGTTGGAACAAGGAAGTTTTTGGAAACATGGAAGCCCAGTATGTGCAGGCAGTTAAAAAAATAGAACAGGTTGATATGCAGAACGAGGTAGCTGAGCTGGAGGAATTAGAAATTGTTAAAAGGCAAACAGGCTTCTCTGAGATGTGGGATGTTTTGAGAAAAAGAGAACTAATCTGGAAGCAGAAGTCAAGGAGCAGATGGATAAGAGAGGGTGACGCCAATACTCGTTTCTTCCATAAAGTGGCCAACGGGAGAAGGGCGCAAAATAATATTGCTGGCTTAATGAGCGAGGGGGTGTGGATTGAAGATCCAGAAACAGTCAAAGGCGAAATTGTCAAATATTTCAGGAATTTGTTCAAAGGTGACCCATGGAACAGACCAAAGCCCGAGGGGATCAAGTTTCAAAAGATTTCAGAGGGAAAAAAGAATGGCTAGAAAGACCGTTTTCGATTGAAGAAATTGAGGAAGGTTTAAGGAGCTGTGACAGTTCAAAGGCACCGGGACCGGATGGGTACAACTTCAAGTTTCTTAAATTTGCGTGGCATTGCATTAAGGAGGATTTCATCAGTTTTTTCTCGGAGTTCCACCGAAATGGTAAACTGGTGAGGGGTCTAAACTCTTCTTTTTTGGCTTTGGTCCCTAAAAAATTGAATGCTGCAAATTTAAAGGAGTATAGACCCATTAGCTTGATAGGATGTGTTTATAAATTATTAGCGAAGGTATTGGCTAATAGATTGAAATCGGTGATGCCAGAAATAGTGAGTGATACTCAATCCGCTTTTGTGGGGGGTCGCCAATTGGTTGATAGTGTATTGGTGCTGAATGAGGTAGTAGATGAGATAAAGACCAGGAAACAGCCAGCCTTTGTTTTTAAGGCTGATTTTGAAAGGGCATATGATTGTGTGGATTGGTCCTTCTTAGACTGGATGATGGATACTTTTGGTTTTGGAACAAAGTGGAGAGGATGGATCATGGAGTGCCTTTCAACGGCGAGAACTTCGATTTTGGTAAATGGAAGCTCGACAAGGGAATTTGAGGTTGGTAAAGGATTACGTCAAGGGGATCCTTTATCTCCCTTTCTTTTCTTGATGATCGGTGAGGGGTTACAAGGCTTGGTACAGAAAGTAGTGGCGGAAGGAATGCTAGATGGAATCGAGATTGGAAAGAAAGGGATGACCGTGTCTTTACTTCAGTTCGCCGACGATACAATAATTATGGGCAGAGCGGATGTTGAGAATACTCGAATGGTGAAGGATGTTTTAAGATGGTTTGAACTTATGTCTGGTCTGCGGATAAATTTTAACAAGAGCAGTATATATGGCTATAATGTGTCGGAGGGATGGTTAAAGGGATCAGCCGGTATGCTACGATGTGGAGTAGGCCAAACACCCTTTCTTTATTTGGGTTTGCCCATTGGCAGTAAATCCGGAAGCAAGAAGGTGTGGGAGCCGATGGTGAATAAATTTCGTGCAAAGCTGGCTGCATGGAAGGCTACTACTCTTTCCTTTGAAGGTCGCCTAACCTTATTGAACTCGGTACTCTCTGCGTTGCCTATTTTTTATATGTCTTTGTTTTTACTACCAAAGTCTGTTCTTGTGGAGCTGATTAGTATACAAAGGAGATTCCTATGGGGTGGGTCAGATTTAAATAAAAAGATTTCATGGGTGAAATGGGAATATATTTGTCGTGATAAGGGGAAAGGGGGTTTAGGGGTACCAGATATGCGTAGGAAAAATTGGGCATTGTTAGGAAAGTGGTGGTATAGATTAGGAGATGGGGTTGAGAACTTATGGAAAAGGGTGGTGAGGGAGAAGTATTATGGAGGTAGGAGTGAGGTCGATATTACAACGATTGAGGGCCCGAGGGTGTCAAAGCTGTGGAGGGATATTATTAGAATGGGGGGTCACTCTTCGAGACTAAAGAATATGCTAGTGGAGGGGTTCAAGTGGGAAGTGGGTGAGGGAAATAAGGTGGATTTTTTGCTACAGCGGTGGGTTGGAGATAAAACTCTTAGGGACTTATGTCCAAGATTATACACTCTATCGGTTAAGAAGGAAGGAAAGGTTTATGAAATGGGAAGATGGAATGAGGGTAGATGGTGTTGGCGTGTTGAGTGGAGGAGAGGTACCATAGGGCGTGAGAAGGATGAGGAGGAGGTGCTGGAGAGGACGTTGGAGGGTGTTCATGTGAAGGAAGGGGTTGGGGATGTTTGGAAGTGGAGACATGAGACGGATGGTAGATATGTTGTAAAGATAGAATATGACTATTTAGATTCTATGGAAGGAGTATTGGAGGACCAGAGGTGTAAATTAATATGGTGCCGGTTGGTACCATCCAAAGTTGCTGTTTTTGGGTGGTGACTGTGCTTAAATAGGCTTCCAACTAAGGATAATTTTCAAAAGCGTGGGGTGCAATTGCAAGAGGAAGGTATTTATTGTGAATTTTGTAGTGGGATAGTGGAGGAGGCTAATCACTTATTTTGTATATGTTATAAAGCGTGGTTAGTGTGGGTAGAGGTGTTAAATTGGTGGGGTTTGGAGAGCGTTTTACCCAATACAATCATGGGAGTGGCAGATTTTTTCATTGATGTGTTGGGCAGTACAGTAGGAAAGGAGATGGGCTCTTGTGTTTTTCTGGCAACTGCTTGGTATATATGGTATAGAAGGAATACTCTGATATTTCGAGAAGATGAAGGAATTCCAGAGAAAATGCTGGAAAGGGTGCAAGTAAAAACCTTTTCATGGTTGAAGTCTAAAGTGAAGGGATGCGTTTTTTCCTTTTATGAATGGCAATATTGTCCGATGGAATGTGCAAAGGCTGTCAAAAGGCATAAAAGGATGAGGAAGCAATTCTCAAAGGCAGTAGTGGCCCCTAGCTAACGGAGGGGAGGTTCACAATCTGCTCTCTTAGTCTGCTGTATGGGTCCTGAAGGGCTGGAATCGGCTTAGAGGTATTTCCTTCTCCTGTAGACTTTCTTGATGGCTGTCCTGAGCTTTTGTGTTTCTTGAATGTAGTAGGTTAATTGTGTTGTGTATCTTGTTTCCTCTGGACTGTACTCTGTTTCTGGGAGTATTTCTTATGCTCCTTCACTAATACATATGGTATGTTGCTTTGCTGATCAAAAAAAAAAAAAAAAAGTAGAAGAAGAGAAAAAAACATTAGAAAAAAAGAAATGTTAAAATAAATCAAAAGAAATCAGAAGTGAAAAGGAAGGGAAGAAAAGAAATTAGCAATTAGAAAATATAGAAGGAAAGGAAAGTGAAAGGAAAAGGGACGAAAAGAGAAGAAAAATAAGTTTAAGAAAAGGAAGAGGAAGATAAGTGAAAGGAAATGGAAGAAGAGATAAGAGAAATGAGTAGGAGAAAAAGATGACGAGGAGAAATGAGGAAAGGAGATAATAGAAGAAGAGTGGGAAAAACAAATGAGACTTGAAACATATGTTGTTCCTTGTAAAATAAATA